AAGTTCATGTTTATTACAAACTTATTGATGATTCATCTTTTTTTAACTCCTAAACCTGTATCATGTTCCTATCTTTCACTTGCCTCTATATGCTGTACTTCTGCTCATCTGTTTCTATATTACTGTGTTTTAGGTGTCTCAAAGAAGGAGCAGTTACTCTTTGACTCACTGTAAGAGCTTTTTCTATTTAATAGAAAAGTTTAACCTATTCAACATGCTTTGACTAATTCACCAGCAATAATAAATATACTTATTTTAGTATATGGATTTTAAATGAGCCAATTGTCAGCTAGCACATTCACCTGATTAAAAAGATATAGTGAATTCAGAACAGACTCTTTAACAGGCTTAAATGCACTTAGCACATTACCATTTTGAGTGAGATTAAAAGTTAAAGTACCTTCTATACTTTCTACTTAGACATTTAAAAATGTAGTTTGCATTTTCTCTAGAAGTATAAATCATATTTTAGTTTACGACTTGATTAAAGAAAATGTATCCTCATAAAAATTATTCTTATTCTTCTCTAAGAAATACAATTTTTGTTTTATACATAAAGTATTATCCAACATGGTTCTGTATCCTACAGAGGTAAGCATGAAGCACCAATAAATCTACTTTTATGATTCGCTCTCATATTAAAAAAGGAAAAAGAAACAACTCCTTCTCCTATGAAGCACACAACATCGTACCTACAGGCTTTCTTCCATGCTTAATTTTGGGAGTGTCAACTAATTCTCCTAGGAAGAATCTTCTTTCTAACTTGCTTCACACTGGAGCCCAAATTTTCTTTCTGGTCAACTGCTCCAGTATCTCTAAGCCCAGGTGTAAGGGAAATTTATTTGCATAGGCAATAGGTTTCTTAGGCCAGACTAAAATAATCGCCAATGTGTCTTCACCCGGCCTTCCGGGGAAACGTGAGTTAGCAGAGTTAAGTAACCAAGGTGTTATCTCCTATGTGAACACATGTGATCACACTTTCCCATGGCATGTCACCACTACTGTTCTGACCATATAGAAAGGCTCGCCATGTTCTCGGCCATGCTCTCACTGCAGCCGCATCCCCTGACAATAAAGAACATGTCTCATCTGCCCTCTGCCGCCCCTTCTCTTCTTTCAACTCCTGGAAGCCTGCTCCGGTGCACTCGCTAGCCACACAGCCCGCTCCCCATGCCTCCTCAAAAGCCTTCAGTGGCTCCCTGCTAACAGAGTAAACTGCAACCTCCTTCAACCCTTCTGAGCTACCCGCAGGCCCCTCCACCTCCACGCCCAGCCTGAGCTCCCAGCACCTGGCTCCTGCTTGCTCCAGGACATGGCCCCCACCTCTGCTTCCCTGCCCATGCTTTACCCTCCGCTGGGAATGACTCGTCATGCTTCACTTCACCCACCAGTCAACTATCAGCAGCCTCCTCCTTCCTGGCCCAGCTCAAATTGTTTCCTCAAATCCCCCTAAACTGGAATCCATGCCCCCCACCCCCGCCAACTTGCCACTGTCCTGCTCCTTTCCTAGGGCACTTAAGGCTTTGGGACTTATGCGTTCATTGCATAGGTTCCTTCCAGCAAGACCTGCAACTCTTCAAACCTGAGCCCCTCCTGCCACCCCCAGAGCACGCAGCACAGTGGTCACACGAAACAGCCTTTCAACATGATACCTTCTTAGCCAGGCACTCCCTGTGACAGTGTAACAGACTGTTAGGAGCTCAGGCTCCGGCAAGAGATGCCTAAATTCAAACCCAGCCTCTATTACTCACCAGCTACAGGACCCTTCCTGTGCCTCCGTCTTCTCAGTTGGAAAAGGGCATATAAATAAAGCCTGCGTCTTAGGCCATTAGAGAATTAAGAATTTAACACGTGTTCAGTGCACAGCACAGGGCTTGCTAGTTAACTGCTCTATTGCTGGTATCACCCAATAGATACTAACTAAAGCAAAACAACCTAGATCTAAATAAGTGTATTTTAAAACGCAACCTCTAAATCACAAGTTAGAAGAATTATTTGACATAGAATGTTCAATGAAATAACTACAAGCTTATAATTTGCCAATTACACAGGATTATGACATTTTAAAAATCAGATTAGTATCTACACATTAAATAGGGAATCTCTTTGGAGAGAGCATGTTGCAGGTGGACCACTGATTGTCAGGAAGACTCCACACAGATTCACTGCAGGATTTGATCATTTTCCCAATTTTTCAGTCAAGGAATCGAAAACGAATCTCAATTGAAACAGCCGCGCAGAAGCGGCAGCTGAAAGATCTTATTCAGTGCAACATATCAGGGACCTCAAAGTCCCAAGGGGGAATTCCACCCAGGTCAAGCTGCAATTACAAGGCCGGGACCTTTCGGATCAGGGTTTATTTCTGGATAGGCCACAGCCCTTTTATGTTAGAAAAAAACAAATAATGTAAAACAAACCAAGCACTAGCTGGCTTTAAACCACCTGTGGTCCCCCATCCCACACTAAGGAAAAGCCAAAATCCTTCAGACTTTCTTGACTTTCAAAGTCCTCTAGGATCCTCTCCTGGACACCTTATCCCTCAGTCCTTTCCTGTCCCACACCTCGCTATTCCCCATCCTGCTCCCCCCATCCCACCCACACTGGCTGCCCAGCCACGTCTGGAATTTGACAGTCTGAGTCCTGCCTCAGAGCACTTGAATGTGAGAATTTCCCTCCTGAGAGAGATTCCTCAGATATCCATACAGCTCTCTCCCTCAACTCAAGTTCTCACTCAAACGTCCCCTATTCCATGAGGCCCTCCCTGGCCAGCAGATGGAAAAATGCACCCCCACATTCCTGTCACACACCCCCCCCACTCCTTACTTTTCACCATCTAGCACTCTGTGTATTGATTGTTTTCTTTTGTTTGGGTGTTGTCTCCTGCAACCATAATGTAAGCTCCAAGTGAGGAGAGACCTTCCCTGTGGTCATTGGTAGATCATTATACCCAGAACAGTGCCTGACACAAAGTGGACACTTGATAAATATTTCTGGAACAAATAAATGAACAACAGATCATGGGGCAGCTTATCAGCAACCTGAAAACAGTCAAAATGGATCACAGACTGCATTTAAACTAGGTCTTTCAAAAAATATTCTACCTTGTATTTCGAAGGGCTGCATTTTGAAAAATGCATTAGTTTAGGTCAGTGGTTGTCCACTGGGAGTGATTCCCACCCATCCTTCAGGATCTTTGGCAGTGTCTGCAGACATCTTGGGATGTCACAGCAGCAGTGGGTGGCCGGGTGCTACTGTCATCTAGTGTGTAGAGGTCAAGGAGACTGCTGGACACTCTACAATGCACAGGAAAGCTCCAGGTAACAAAGAATGTTCTGGCCCGAAATGTCAAGGTTGAGAACTCACAATTAAGCTCAAGATAATTTCTTAGATCTGCCAGGGAAGGTGGGAAGGGAAGGGAGGGGAATGGAGGGAGGAAGGGGGAAGGAAAAAAGGAGGGAGGGAGAGAAAGAGGGGAGGAGGGAGGGAGGGAGGGAGGGGAGGAAAGAGTGAAGGAAGGAAGGAAGGGAGGGAGGAGAAATGAGGAGGGAAGGAAGGAAGCAGACCAGCACACGGGCAAGCTAAGTCAATTACTGGTAATATCGAAAGACCAAATACACAAGACCTATACACACAAAGCTAGAGAGGTATCAAAAAAAAATACCAAGTGGTGTTCACCTAGCAAGGAATAAAACGTGCCACTAAGGGATTTATTTATGAAAATAAGAGGAGAAATGTCAAAAAAGAAAAGAGAGAGGAGGAAACTGGATTGTAAAGGAGAGTCTTTGCTTCCAGTCCCTTCAGACCTAAGAGTGTGCACCACATTCTTGGTACGCGTATTCTTACAGGAATAACTGACAAAGTAATAAAAAAGGGGGAAGTCCCAAATTACCATCTCCTCTCTGTGAGCCGCGCAGCCTGATGCCGACGGCTCAGAGCATTTGGCAGGAGCCGGCTGTACCGGAGAGCAGATGCTCCAGGCAGGCTCTTCGAGGAACATCAGGGATATGAGGACTTGGGGAGAAATTAACCAAGCGAGCAGAAACAGAAGAAGAGATATTAAGAGGTACAGCATTCCTCCCTCTGTAAACATCGTGCGAGCTAGACTAATCTCGTGGTTAAATTACAAGAGTGCTCCATCCGCAAAATGCACTAACAGCTTTGGAAAAATGTATCTTTTGGAAGAAATAAAGTCTCATTGGCTGATAAAGCTGTAATAAGTCTACAACAAATTGTATTAATGGTTGGATGAAAAACTGAAATTCTCTCTTCTAGAAGAGTACATTTGGTACACACATTAATGTCCAATTAAGAGGTGAATCTGCTCTCTCGCTTCCCTTCTTTGTCCATGTTAAGGCATTCTTTGATGCTTTCTCTTCTAACTTTTATAAGTATTTTTTCATCCAGCTTTTCCCCTTTGTTGATCCTGGTGTATTACTTTTTATAATAACTGGACTGCCAAAACACTCTTCCCTCTTCAAGAGAGGCTCTGTGCTTTCTTCCACAAAGCGTTTTTTGAAACTTAAAGCAAATGTGACCACTAAAAAGACAAATAGAACTTCCAGGAAAACAGTCTTTTGTAGTCCTGAGAACAAATGTGCAGTTACCAACAATTAATCTCTGAAGAAAGGTGTGGCAAGGAGGTATAAAGTAATGCATATGTTTGTGTTTCATTAATAAATGGAAAATCAGTCAAGGATCTATATTCCTGTAAATAAATACAAACGCCCATCTTAAGATGGAAAGATTGAGATTGAATTGAAAGACTAGTCAAAATGTTTTGGTTGGTTAAATCAATTTCGGACTGACACAGAAAAAATATGTCCCTTTATACCTGAAACTGCCAAAGATACTGTGTAAGAATAAGGAATAAAACAGTAGTTTCCTGCTGTATCAAGGAGGATTTTTTTTTCCCCCTAGACTAAGATTCAGCAACTCTAGACCATAGAAACTCATCAACTGTAAAATGACTCACAAATTGTTTATTAATAAAGGGAACTTACGGATAGCAAGGGAATGGCAACTTTTCCAAGAAAATCAGGGGGTTTATCTCCATCTTCATCAAACACTGTCACTTCTAAAACATCATGGATATCTTTAATGGGGCTGAAACAAAAAAATACCATGTATTATACACAAAAACACACAAGTGAAGTCTGTTCCATGAAGATCTGAAAACACTGTTTCACTAATTAAGTCTGTATGTCCTTAGAGTATAAAACTACCATTTAATTAAATTCCAAAAATTAAATCAAACTGACTGTATTCCCAAACCTTCCATCACAGAAGATTTAGACATCCATATGAAAAAAGAAGTCAACTTTTTTACTATGACATTTTCCACATAGCATACGTGTACTCAAGGGTAGGACTGTGAAGGAAACAGGATGCAGACAGAGAAGGCAGAAAGAATGAGAGGGTCAAAGCAAAGTGATTTCAAAGAAGTTTCTAAATGAGAAGAGTAAAAATAACGTTTTCTTTAAATTAATGAAGAATTCTCTTTTCTTTTAAAAAAAAAAAAGGTGGTGAAAATCACTTTTGCTGAAATACGTAGAGAGCCTCCTATTGTTGAAACACAAAATACTAAGAACACTTAGAAACACTGTTTTATGTTGTCCAGAAGCCAGACCTCGGCAACAATGAAAACCAAAGTCAGGCCATTGGCCACATTTTAGGAAAACAAGAGAAATTTACATCTGGCATTTGGCAAATTTGTTTAGCAGAGTTAATCCACTTCTCATAGATCTTTGGGAACTTTTTACTAATACCATTAACTGTATGCAAAATGAATTTTTTTTCCACTTATAAGCACAGAGAGAGCATTTATTCAGCTTTGTGGGGGCAGTGTACCACCACCATCCCACCCAAATTCAACAGGGGCCTCCATTGATGTTTAGGTGCTTTGTAAGCTAAAGAAAACTAGGAAACTGAAATATGTCCAGCCCCCTAAATCCCTCAGTTTGATAGAGTGGGCAGGGTATTGCTATGGGGTGGGTCACTGAGATGAACTAGAATATAAGGAGCCTCTGGGAGTCTTTAAGGATGCACAGATAATCTGCATTTTTCCAAAAGACTCTGGCAGAATACAAGCCTTCAGGCATTAAAATAACGTTATAACATATAAGTTCCTTGAATTTAAGGCAGGTCTCCATTAGTAACTTTCCTTAACCCAGAAATGAATTAATCTAGATATATGGAGGCTTCCAGCTACTCGCAGATTAATTTAGTCACTAAAGCATCTACTTTACAAATGCCTCCTATAACACTCCTTTGCAGTTCTGAATGGTCTCTTCTATTATTAACACCACACTCTATAAAATGAAAGGATAAAAGGTTTTCAGAAGGAAAAAAACAATAAAATTCACTCTTTGCCCATAAAACAGACAGAAAGTTCCACTCAAGAGCCCCAGCCTGCCCCAAACATAGCAGGGATAATTGCTCTCTAAGTTAGCACTGTTCCTCAATATTACGGAGGCTAAAACACTTACAATGTAAAAACTTTGTTCCACTCAGGGTTGAGGTTCTTGTAAATGGTGTGTGTCTGAAGTCGGTCGTTGCCTAACTCCAACAAGCAAAAAGGATCACTCTTTCCTGGCAAGAGAACATACACATTGGTCAAAGACAAGTGAATCTCAAAACAGACAGCATCAGTGTGAACAAAAGTCTTGCACTTTAATAATTAAAAAATTGTTCTTGCTGAAAGAGGGAAGTTGAGATTCCTTTTCCAAAAAGCTCTGCAGACGCCCTGTGTGGACATTTGGGAGGTGGGCAGAGCCTCCAAGGGTTGGAACTTTATCATCCATAATGGATTGGGACTCATACAACACCCAAGATGCAGCCTTGAAAGCCAGTGACCACACAGGTTTCTCAGGAGTAGGCGTCAGTTTGGCAGTGGGAAAGCCCACTTCTTTGTTTTGTTTTAAAAATGAAGCTCATCTCTGTTTTCTTCCTAAATTCTCTTTCAGCTAATCTGGAATGACCGGAATCCTATGATAACTTACAGGCTTCCTGTGGCCATGAGAAGATGTGAGAAAAAGTATAAAAATGGCTCTCAAGGAGTTAAAACTCTGTTCTTTAAGTGAATAGCTGTATGATTCTACATACTCAGTACATTACAAGAATGCATGAGCTACAGTTTTGGTGCCATGAAATAAAAAAAAAAGTATAAATCAATCAAGGTCAGAGTTTTTAACTTAAAAAAATTAAGCTCATCCCTTACTTCTCCTACTTCTTCTCTTCATTTTCTATCCTATCTCCCACATCCTTCAAAAGAGGTAAGAAAATTCCAAATCCGAAGTTGGACCCAGAGAGTTACCAAGTAAAAATTCACTTCCCTTTTGTTGGTCTTGGCAGAGGGATCTAGAATTGGAACTGTCAGAGACAGAACGAATGGGTCCGTATGTCCACAGGACATTAGTGCATTGCCTGTCTCCACAGCACATTGGCACTTTACAAAGCAGTGCTTGCTAAATTGATCGGGGGCACAAGGACACATGCTTCTCCAACAAATGGCCAAGGAGTCCTGGGCCAGGGCCTCAGGCAGAGAGTGCTCAGGTCTCTTGACCGACTGGCCTCCCATTCGGGTCACTGAACCTACATCTAATTCACTTAATAACCAGGAGCTCTGAGGCACCGCACATCAGTAGAGATACCGACACGTGCAGGAGCTTGCCTGAAGAATGTATTTTTTAAAAAGAGGGGAAGAAGAGCAAAGGCATGGGTGATGGTCAGTATTAAACAGGAGATTGCATTCAACTGACTAGGGGCCCGGACAATGACCAAGCTGTGGCCATAAATGAATGAGTTAGAGTTCTCAACTGCAAACAATGGAAATGGTCCCTGTCTAAATTTAGCAGAAAAGGAATTTAATAAAGTAATATCAAACAGCTCTCAGAATAGCTACAAAGGCTAGAAAATCAGGCTCAAAAAAATCACTATAAACCAAAGAATACATAGGTACAAGAAGTCCGGCCAATATTCCACCCCAGGAAAAGTCTGGTGTGGTCTCTGCTTTCCCAGAACACCAGCTCCACAAGGCACTCTTATCCCTAGCCCCTGACTGTGGCTGTTTCCAACGTGAACTCTCTACTCCTGCTTCTTTGCCTCACCGGATACAGATGCAAAGGCCTGAACTGCTAGAGTCCTGGAAAGGAATACTGGCTTTTCAGCCTTCGTGACTGGGAGTGAGCTCTGACTCCTTCTCTAAAACATACAATGGCAAACACCTCAAACACAGAAGGGGCTTCCGATCTTGGGCAGTCAAAATCAAACTAACACAAAAATCCACCTGTGTCTGCGAAAAGTCTCGCTTATTTAAAGACAGGTTACTCTGGCCATCTGTTTTGTAGGGCACAGGGCTGGGGTTGAATGGGAAAGAGCCTGCCAATGTAGAACAACACGCTTCCTCTTCGACAACTGTGAACATGCAGAGAACACATGCATTCGGCTTAATGCTCAAGTATACCATGCTTGATTCCTCAACCCAGGCTGAAACAGCTACTTAACCATTTGTCAGACTATTAGTAGGTGTCAGCACTGCTCCTCCAGAGACACCAACATGACACGCCATCAGCACTTGCTCCAGGGAAACTGTCTGACACTTTTAATGAAAGCCCTGGGGTTGCTCCACAGCAGGGCAGAGATGCTGCCTGGTCCTGTTGATGCACAGGTGGGCTCCTGCCGGCTCCCACTCTCTGGAGCGAGCGCTCTCTTAGCTGTCCCAGCTAATGAGGAACAGACTTCCCTCCAGAACCTGGAAACTTCAGTTATGTGTCTCCAAGGAACACACCGCACCAACACTCTGAAGATAATTCAGTCAAAGCTCATTAAAATGCTGTAGTTATTAATATTACAGTATAAACGGGCAGAGAGAAGAAGAAACAAAGACATTAAAACGTTTATAGAGTAATTTACGTACACTTTATGGATTGATTTCTTTCTCTTAAAAGATTGCAGATAAATGAGAACTTTGAATACAATTTAAATAACAAATACTTTTATTTGAGATAACAATTATCTCCCATAATAAATGGAATGTCCGAATGTTCCCCAATGGTTCCGAGAGAACAGCACCAGGCAGACAGGCACATGCACGTTTGAAGCTGCACTTTTCCCCTTTACTCCATCTGCTTCACAGGTAAAACATCTAGATGGCCTCCTCTACGTCCAGACGCCATGTCACCTTGACATGGTTATGCCATTGGTGATTCAGTTTCACACTGGGGTTTTTTTTAGCATTCGGCACTCAATAAATAGCCTTTGCTATTTTCCAACACCACTCTAAAATTCATTTATATTTCTAGAATGGCAAACAGGGGGGGAGGTCATTTAAATACTTTTAGCTTTATATCAATTCTAGAAACTGAATAACACACAATAAATATCAGGGGTCATATCGTGCATCTGACAACCATTTATTAAGCATCCACTCTGTTTCTAGCTCTGAACCAGGCCCTGACACACAATTAGCACCAAACCATTACCTACGAGGAACTCTGATAATGGTCCCTGCTATACTGCAAATATCACCTTTTCCAAGGAAACTTCCCTCACACTTGCCCACAGCAAACTGAGTTTCTCCCAGCTCTGATCTCTGACTGTGTATTGTTCTTACAACTCTTATATCCCATATCTGTAAATTTCCATTCCATAATCAGCCTGTATATTTCATTTAAAGGTCCTGATGCAGGCACACTCAATTATACATAACTTTACTGTCCCCCAAAAGTGCCAAAGCCCCGTGACAGAGGGCAGCAGGGAATGCCCTGCCTCCCAGTGTGGGCTAGAAGGAGCCAAGCCCCCCACCACCCTCCTACACACCCTGTAGGAAACCACACTCCTTTATGCAGATTCTCTCTTAATGCTCACATCAACCCTAATGCCATTTTGCAGATGAGAAAATAAAAGTTCAGAGAAATGTAATTTGGTTGGGAAAAGTCCAAAAATACTTCATAGTGCAGGTGAATCCTAAGCAAGGTTTAGAGGGGGAGTGTTTGGCTAGCAGAAATGGATAGGTCCTTTTTGAGAAGATGGGATTGATCAAAGCTTCAAGCTAGGAAGATTATGTGTGCACACGTGTATGCAAATAGTGGCAATCAGGAAATGTGAGATACGGGTAGATAAATGGAAAGATTGGCTTGAAGATCAAGACCAGTACTTTTCATTTGATTTCATTTCGTTTTACTCGTCCAGGCCCTGGGAACCAACCTAGATTGTCAACACAAGAGGTAGAGCTGGAAGAAAGGATCTGGACAAACAATTCCTGAAGCTAAGTATGACATATTACAGCTCAGAGAGGCTGGGGGGTGGGCGGCAGAGCCATTCCAGTCTAAATTTCCTAAAACTCAGCTTTCATGCCTTGTTTCCAACCATTTGTTTATAAACCTTACTATCATATATTGGAGAAAATTTAACTGATCATTCTGGAAATTTATTAGGTTATTAAGTATGAAATGTCTGATTTCCTTAAGTACTAAGTTTGACAGTTGATATTGCTGACATTTGACATTTCTTGTGTTATTTTTATTGTGAAGGTACATCTTCGGTCTTCTAAAGGAACATCTTGGCTTGTGATGATCTTTCAAATTTTTTGTAGAGCAATTTTTATGAAACCATGAATAAGTCAAAAATTCATGTTATTTTTTAATATGAGTTCTGTCGCAGAACCAATGCAGTGTAGACAGTTAAAAATACCAATGACATGTTTGGGAAAAAGCTAATGGTATCTGTTTGGTGGTCCAGTACTGGTATCATCCACTACAGCTTCATGAAACCTGGTCAATAGATTACAGTGGATGTCTACTGCAACCAATTGGACAAAATGATGAGGATGCTTGCAATTAAGCAGCCGAGATTGGTCAATAGGAATAGGCCAATCCTCTTGCAAGACAATGCTGGACCACATGTCCCACAAAAAACACTGCTCAAACTACAGAAGCTGGACTTGGAAACTCTGTCATCCACTGTATTCACCAGACCTTGCACCAACTGACTACCACTTCTTCCAGGCTTTGGACCACTTCTTGCAAGGAAAAATATTCAATTCTCAACAAGCTGTGGAAAACACCACTCTCTCTCCAGGCTTCCTTGCTGCTGGCATAAACAAGCTACCGTTATGATGGCAAAAATGTGTGGATAGTTAGGCACATACTTTAATTAATTGTACTGCTTGTTTGAGATATAATAAACTACGCTTTGATTCAAAATCAGACATTTCATATTTAATGACCTAATATATTCTCTGTCAACCACACAATCCATCCTGATCTACTCCTATTCACCAATGGTTTAGCAAGGCTGGGGTCTTTTTCCAGACCCCTAACCTCACCGGGTTCCCTATCCTGTCTTGCACACAGAAGTACAGGGTTCCTCCTTGCTTCGTACTTTGCATGGGGAACAGACTTGTCCCTGCGCACCCCTCTAAAACCTCCCCACTCCAAAAATTAAAACGCCAACTAAGCTCCCAGCACCAATTTAAACAGATCTTCTTTGTGGAACTTCCTTTGTAACCTTGAGGGTGCCCCTGACTACTATGATGATGAGTGTCGGTTTATGCCTCCTGCACAATGAACGTATCTGCTCATTTGTTCAAC